AGTAAATAAAAGTCAGATTTACTTAATAGTTATTCCGAATCAGATTATGGTAAGTAAAGGAAACATAGGCAAACTTAACGTTATTATTAGTCTATAACTGTCTGTGGATTTATAAACGTGCCGCACCAAGCTCGATGTCATATAATAGCCGCGTTACTTCACTTTCGAGAAACGAGACAAACAATATACGGCCGCTAAAGCTTCTTGTTTATAGAATTCGATTCATGCACACGTGTTATTATTAGTATAAAATAGTGTATGGAGTTGTTTATCGTCGTCATTCGGATATATATATATATATGTATGTCTATCGGTTATTTTGACTACTCTTTAAAAAATCGTAAATTTTATTGTATATATAGAATTGTATTAAGTCGCTGAAGTATACATTACTCATATTTTTTTAATAAAGTGCACTGGTAATTATATATAAGGAATTGAGTATCGATTGGCTAGTACAGCGACAGTACAAATATATGTACAATTATACGTAATACGTTTAATTCGACGACATTATTATTTTCTGTAAAAATGACGATTTTGATGACATTTCTATACATCGACTGTTCTACAATACACAATTAAGGCTTAAAGAAATTCGCACAGAAATATAAAATTATTAATTCATTATTAAATATGACTATACTCGTAATTAGGAACGTTTTTGTGTTGCAAACCCATGTAGAACACTTTTATCACTCATTTATACATTTTAACTTTTGTATCTTTTAATATTTTGTGTCTACAATGGATAATTTTAGTTACAATACATGTATAATATTTTATGACAGATTTTCTAACCTCGGTCTAATTTTTCCATAACTAAGAATTAGCTATTTTGACGACATCGCAGAATCGTAAGATTCTTAACTTGTTCTCGTAAAACTTGCAATAATTTATAACTGAAATGTTTATAATATTGTGCAATATTTTTATGGACAGCTTCTTAATAGCAATAAAATTTAAGTGAATTAATCATAGATATTTATAAATGATAACATGTAAACATGTCGTAGGGTACGGGTAGAATTATTCCAGTCATAAATTCTTACGAGAATAAGTTAAAAGCTTCATGATTCTGCTTATAATTGACCTATTATTAATTACATTGCAAGTATTTCGTAAATGACAGATTTCCTAATCTCAGAAAATGCCAAACTGTTTCATAACTAAGAATTGGTCACTTTGACGACATCGCAAAATCGTAAGGACATAGCACACAAAAAGCTTAAGCAGAAAAGCTTGAGGCATAAGAAATTCAACCAGAGTTCTTTATTTCATGGAAAGGAAGGAAACGATGGACTTTGATTGGTTCATTTTCTTGTGCATTACATATTATACGTTATGCATGATTCTGTGCTTCCCGTCTTAGACTATATCCACACAAACTTGTATAGTCGCATAAACGTATGCATAATGAAAATCACGGAGTAATAAGAAGGAGATCAAACTCGAGGATGAAACATGGGCTCGAAACATGGCTTCGGAAAACACGTTGAAAATCGGAATGATGCGATTTCTGCGCCGTTGTGGGAAAAGTCGGAAATATATTCCACATGATAACGCATACGGAATACACACGTGTGCACGTTTTATTTTTAATGCAGAAATTCTAATTTGTATAAAATCTTATTTTATTTGATTAAAAAGTAAATACATCAATATTTATTAAAAAATACATACATGCATGCACAGTATAAATGATCATTAAATTGTCATTTTTCAACTTATCGACATCAAAAAACTTTAGACATTAAAAAAAAATAAAACAGGACTTGAGCGACAACTTTCCTTCTCAGAATATATTCTACGCATGAAAATTGATAAGTTTACAAAATTACAGGAAAATGAGAGGAAAAATATTTATCAAATCCTCTAAGTTGACAGTTTTCTCCGACAGGCGCGCTCGGATCAGTTCTTCCATACAGCGCTTTTCCGACACCGTGTTTCGAGCCCATCTTTTTCATAGCCGACCGCTTGAGCTTGGTCTCTTTCTTATTACTCCGTGATGAAAATTATCCAATCACATTTCTTTTATAAAGTTGCACGTAAAATGTGATTGGATAATTTTCTTTGTGCATACGTTTATGTAGCTATGCAAGTTTATGTGGATATACTCTTAGGGTTATGACTAAGAATATATCCACACAAACTTGCATAGCCGGATAAACGTAAGGCCATCCCACATAAAATGACATAAGCTGTATAACCACAGCATAAAGCCGCTGGAACAATGAGCATCTTATGTAAATCAATATGGCGACTTTATGCTGGATGCTCATTGATCCAGTGATCTTATGTTGTACTTATAGTTTGTTATGCATTTCATGTGCAATAGGTTTGAGTTATATCCGCACAACTTGCATAACCGCATAACCATATGCATAATCATAATCACAATGAAGGTCTATCTAGACAAACGCATAATGTATGCATAAGCATACAGAAACTAATCTTAATAACTTATTTCACGAGGTTAACTGTAACTGCTATTGTGTTTTTTGTCAGATTCTTTCGTTTTGAGTGAATATATGCGTCGAATAAGTTTTAATTAAATAGGAACTTTTAACCACTTTAGTTGTTTCGCCAGTGTTACAGGAAATACTAGCTTCTTTGTAAATAGATTATAACGAACATAAAATTAATAGATATCACTTGCTGTAGCATGTACACAGTTTTTGTGAAGTATTATTTTTGCTATTCGCTATAAATTATTTTGTTATTTTTCAATGACACGTCAGTCGCTTACATTCAACATTTGTTCGATTAATTCCAGGATTAATTAATTTGAGGTGGTAAAAGTATTCTAAATAATCGTCCTAAAATTTATTTAATAAAAGGCATATGTTAAAATATCAGTAAGTAATAGAGCTACGAGCCAAGGTTAATATACATGGTCAAATTAAATAAAAAAAATAAGATAAACATACAATAACTTTAATACAAATGCCGGCAATAACAAACGTTTCGATCCGCATCAGATCATTCTTAATGTTAAGAATAAGTACAAAATATATAAAATTAAAAATCAAAAATTAAAATTTAGAGAATTCCCTCTCATCTCGCTGTACCTCCGCAAACATATTAGTAAAATGTGAAATCCACAGTGTGTCTATCCGCTTACGTGTAATACATGATTTCTATCCAACATAAGTCATACAAATAAAATAATATAAAATATACGAAAATTACAGCCATATATAAAAGGATAGATTTGGTAATATAAATTAATATAAATAAAAAGAAATATGAAATTTACAAAGTTATAGAGAAATTAATAATCGGTAATATTAAATATAAGAATTCTGAACTAATCGTGGTAAAGTCAGTAATATAAAATCAAGAATATGAAAAAATATATGTTAAAATCTTTAACATGAATGAAGACGAAAATGTATTATATGCAACTACATTACTGCTATTACAACTTTACTATTATATGATATTAAGAAAAAAAAGTTATTGTTTCTTAAGAAGATATAAAAGAAGAAGATGGTGGGTTCGTTCCATTAATAATATGAGATCTTATCAAGGAGATTTTATGCATCTGTTTCAAGAATTGAAATATGATGTAGATATATTTTTTAAATATACTAGGATGAATAAAGATACTTTTAACTTATTACTTTCAAAAGTACGACCTTACTTGCAAAAAATAATTAGCGAGCATTGCCTCTAGAGCATTGCCTCTAGAACGTCTTATTATGACACTCACGTAAAATAGTCTGAATATAATTTGATGTAAATTTTTCTCTATTGATAATGTTATTTTTTTATGCGAAAGTAAATATCTTGCATCGGGTGATCAAGTAACGTCCAGCGTTAGCATACCGTGTTGGATTATCAACTGCACATTCTATGATTCGAGAAACATGTGAAATAATTTCGAATGTATTGGGCACTAAATATCTTAAGGTATCAATCAATTGTTTTTGTAATGAAATTATTTACAGATGTTAAAATATTAGTAGCATCACACCAACGATCTAATTAAATTTGAAGGGATTATTATACAGGATATATAAAAAGTCCCTCTTAAATATCTTGAAAAGTAATCATTTTTGAGAAAAATGATTTATACAAAAGTTGTAAGGTTAAAAATGATCTATTGACTGACCACATCAATTTGACCTTGGATGGCGCCACCAAGGTCAAGTCAAGGTCAAATCGATTATTTTAACTGAAACACCCTATTTTTGATTTTAGAATCTAATAGCTGAGGTCGGGAGCTTTCTAAAACACTGTAATAAAGCCTCTTTTTAATCAGTACTTTTCAAGTTATGAGAGTTACAAGTTACGGAACCGCCGCGGCATTAGCATTACCTAAACTAAGATGATCGTATCCATTTTAATAATGCGAGGATGGGGTGCTCATAGGAGGTCTTACCCAAGCGACAAGACTTTTCAATCATTTTTTTAGAAATAAAAACAATGGTATATCTAAATCAATTGTCATTCGTTTGAGCATTTGTCATTCCTTTAACCCAGCTCGCCTTACCTACCTACCTACCAGTTTTTTAATTACTTTCTCAGCTAGACCCCACCGGGATCTGGAACTTCGTCAAGTTATATCTCTGAATAGAAAACATATTTTTAACTTATCACATGCAAAATTGATATTTCTAGAATAAGACAAGAACAAATAAACAAAAGATGAAACAACAAATATTTTATTCTTAAATTACATCATAAAAAGTTAAAGTCTGAATTGCAATGTGAAAAATCGCATTAGATACGTCATATCCCAGTATGGCGAGCTAGGGTTAAAAGAATATTACATACTATAGCAAATACTCAAATTGACGTCCCTCCGCAGTCTGACAATGTGCTAGACGATTATAAAAACTTAAGACTGCATTTCTACAGAATTCACGAGGCATTATTCCAAATTCACGTAATACCTCAGATAATTATATTAGAGGGTTTGCGGGTTATCACCCTGTCTTCTTTCATGGTCGATGCCAACGTTTCGTGAACCATGCTGTTCACTTCATCAGAGCGAAGAGTGCACTGATACTGAGCTGCTTCCCCGAGAGACTCCCTTTTTATATGTAAAGCGCTGTCGGGTGGGGGGGGATACTATCTCCCCCGTAGTAGCAAACATCTTCATGGAGCACTTTGAAGCAGAGGCCCTCCGCAAGGCAAGCAACAAACCGGAAATCTGGTTCCGGTACGTAGAGGACACATTCGCAATTTGGAGACACGGCAAACTTCACAAATTCCTAAACTTTATCAACAACCAACATAACAACATCCGATTCACTATGGAAATAGAAGAGAATGGTAAGCTCCCCTTCTTAGACGTCCTTGACAAAGAAGATGGACAACACATTGGGCCACCAGGTATATAGGAAACCGACACACACGAACAGATACTTACATGCGGAGTCACACCACCACCCGGTTCCAAAACAATCGGCAATACACTCACTCGTACACCGAGCTTTGAGCATCTCTGACCAAGAACATCTGCAAACGGAACTTAATCATTTGAAAGAAACTTTACAGCAGAACGGATACAATAAGGAAGAAGTGAACAGGACAATTAACAAACAAAGGAGTGGGATAAAAATATACAATAAGGAAGAAGTGAACAGGACAATCAACAAAGAAAGGAGTGGGATAAAAAAAAGACACACAAGAATCACAGGAAGAGAAAAAATGGCTCTCGTTCCTCCCATACGTAAAAGGAACAACAGATCGAATCGGTAAGATCTTGAACAAACACAACATCCGGACTATCTTCAAGCCTTTAAGGAAGATCGAACAAATATTGAGAAATCCCAAGGATCAGAGACCTCCACTTAGTTCGGCAGGAGTGTACAAAATACCCTGTTCATGCGGGAAGGTGTATATTGGCGAAACCAGAAGAACGGTCAGCACACGAATGAAGGAACATGAACGGGACGTCAGGTTGAAACACGTCACACAATCAGCCCTGGCAGAACACAACATGGAGACAGGACATCGAATACTATTCGACAAAACGACAACCTTAGCCACGACAACATCGTATTTCCCGAGGAAACATAAGGAGGCCCTGGAAATACAGAAACATCCAGACAACTTAAACAGAGACTTTATACTGTGAGAGTATACAGAGAGGTTATACTGTGAGCAAGATATGGAAAACTGCTCTTATGACAGACCAACGGAGTATTCCCTCCACTTCCCAAAATCCCCCCCCCCTCCCAACAGCGCTTTACATATAAAAAGGGAGTCTCGGGGAAGCAGCTCTCCTCGCACCAGTGCACCCCTCGCCCTGATGAAGTGAACAGCATGGTTCACGAAACATTTGCATCGACCATGAAAGAAGACACGATGATGCAAACCCTCTAATATAATCGAAGAAGATAACCGTGGAAGCCTCAAATGCGTAACCTCAGATAATGCTAACGTCGGCGTTTCCGTAACTTTCAACTCTCATAACAAAAGTACTGATTAGAAACAGGCTTTATTATAGTGTTTTGGAAAGCTCCCGACCTCAACTATTAGATTCTAAAATCAAAAATAGGGTGTTTCATTTAAAAAAATCGATTTGACCTTGACTTGACCTTGGTGGCGCCATCCAAGGTCAAATTGATGTGGTCAGTCAATAGATCATTTTTAA